AAAAAAAAAAAAAAAAAAAAAAAGACAGACCTTGTTGTGGTTTATAGATATCAAAGCAATCAGCAGCTCTTGGGCTCCCCATATTAGGAGATTCTTCCCCAACTTCATTACATTGATTCCAAGATTCTATAGCCACCCTAAGACCATCCCTCCTCATCCCTGGGTCTCCCACAGCTGATAAATACCCTTCTCCTGCTGAATTTACATATATGCCCCTGGCCACTGACAACAACAGAGCCATAACCACACCAACAAGAAGATGACCAACAGCCATAACCAAGACTTTAATAGTAACACAAAATGCTCTCAAATGTGTGTGTATAATTGTCTCAAATATGTTGTGAAGAAAAGTAGTGAAAATAGTGAGAATTTAGTTAGGTTGGCTGCTTGATAAAGGAAAGAAAATTTAGTTAGAAGGGCTGTGAAATTTTTAGCCAAAGATTTTGATTTAATCAAAAAATAAAAATAAAAAAGATGAAGTTTGTAGTGAATGTGTTGAAGTTTGTAGTGAATTTGTTTGACTTTCCTTAATATACTTTTTTACTTTTCAAGAATTACATACAGTCTCGTTACGGAACTATTCCGTCAAATTGTTAGATCAATTATCCCAACGATTACATGATGATTTAAAATTTAAAAACCTCGACGGAATGACTCCGTAACGGGACTATTGTATCTCCCAATTAACAGTTGTTAGTAATACATTTATGACAATTGTACATTTATTTTATTTTTTTTAGATAAATGTGTTTAAAAATGGGGTGAATTAAAGTGTTAGATTTTACAATATAAATATATATATTTTTGTTTAAAAATATGACAAGTCAGTCTCCTCTAATTGTTACAGTTGAATTTGTATTTTTGATAAGGTATATGTGCCATTATTAGATTTTCCCTAAAAAAAAAAAAAAATTGTGTGAAGTGGTTATTAATAGAGGTTACATCTTGCTTATTTTGTTTTAATGATTGATTTTCTTTATTATATTTTTAAAATCTAATTACATGAGATAATAACAGAAGTGCTTATTATGCCCTAATAATTTGCTTTAGTGGTCAAACACTTCTTATTTTTCTTTTAAGTTTTCATAAAATGATTTCATGAGATAACAAATGATTTCTTTTGTCCTTACTCTGCTTTAATACTCCAAAATATCAATTTTATTTATTTATTTTTTTTTTCCAAATTTGATTTCATTGGATTCTAAGCCACTTTTTAATTGCTTAATAACTATAGACAACTAAACTAATATTGATGTGCCAGGTAAAATAACCTTGAGATTAAGATATATGAAGACAAGAGCAACAAAGGGAATTTTTCTAACCTTGTAACCAAAGCAATGCCTTTATGACCCCTTAAGCAAAGAAAAAGTTACCTAAGATAAAATATGTCAAAATTTTTGAGTTTACCACAAATTATTGTCTGAATCAGCCTAATTGTTAGGCTGTTGATACTCTACGAACAATACAAATTTGTGCGAGACAGTCTAACAATTAGGCGAGACGAGTTAATTGTTTATACTATTTGAGCAAAAACACGCACTTACACTATCAAATGTCACATTTCTGTTTATGTTGTTTTTTTAAAGTATGATTTTTTTCTAATGAAAGTATGCAAAATCGTGAAAATATTACGTCGGTCTAATGATTAAGCCGACCTAACACAAGATTAATTGCTATCGAAATATCATAATAATATTTATATTGTTTTCACAAAATATGACATAATAAGAATATACATATTCATTATAATAAATATTGTGACATTTTGTACTATCAAAAATTCTATGGAGCCATCGAATGGTTTTCTTATGGAGTCATCCATCACTTAATGTATTGACACATGTCCAAAGTATATTTACTGTAAGACACGTGTCAATATGCTGTTTAAGGATAACTGTGGATGACTCCATGAGTCGAACAATATGATGGTTCCATAGCAAAACTGACTATACTAGACTAGATGGGCCAAACTAGATATCAATGAAATAAAAGGTTCCTTTCACATCCTAACAAACCAATGTGTTGTACCAATGTTTGTTTGTTAGCATGTGAATGTGATGGCCCAAAAGGTCCATTGTTTTAAAAGCAGTTTACCTAATTCAAACTGCTAATCCATATATTTGCATCACATCACAGAAAGTGATGTTTTTTGAAGTTGTCTGAAAATAACAATGTCTTTTCAAGTTTTACCTGTTTCACTTTGACTAAAAACATGTAAACAAAACAAGCTGCTATACCATCATAATATCTTATTGCATTTGGTATGTAAAATATATATAATATGGAAAAATGCTACTGTTCCGTTACGAAACCATTCCATCAGGATTTGTAATCGTTAGATCATCATGTAACCGTCGTGGATAATTATCTAACGGTTACAAACCCCGACGAATGGTTCCGTAATGAGATCGTAAAATCTCGTTATAATATGAGAACTGTTTTTAACGGCTAATATGTAAGAAAAAATTGGTTTTGTACCAATTTAACGATTCTATTTTTCGTAAGTAGAATACTTAGAAAAGTCTCAAAACCTTTTTAAGGCGAATGAGAAATTAATTCTAAGTGTTGTATTTTAATTAATTGAGTTTAAACAACTCATGTAGGGTTCACAAACATTATATTTTAATAAATGTTTGGATAAACTAAACGAGCCATAAATATGCATTATGTATGCTAGAATTGTAGAGGGGCTCGTTGGGGACAAGTAGGAAAAAACGGAACTCGATTCCGAGTCCGTATGAGCTCGTACGAGCCCGCGGCGCACGGGCGCGCAACTGGCTGCGGAAATCGAAGGGTTGCAACCCTTGGTGACCATAAGGTATCTTTTGGCCACTAGATATATCCGTTCTTGTTCGGACACGTCCCAAAAGGTGTCTTTTGATACTTAAACCTCTTGGAGGTGTCTCCTTACATCTATAAATACCCACTAACATGAAATCATTCGAAACATCAAATTATTCCACAACCTTTGCATCCTTTTTACAAAGTTCATATTCATCTTGTGTTCTTTGTGTTCTTTCCTATCTTGAGAGTTCCGAAACTTAAGTATTTATTAACAACATAAACATCGAATTTTATTGAATCAAACATAATATCTGTACATGATTTGAGAGGAAAGATTGAAGAACCGAGAGGAAAGATTGAGAGAGAGAGCAATTCTCAGAAAAGCGAAAAAGGAAAAGTGAAAGTGGGGAAACCCTAATCTCCTATTTATATGTAGGCTAAGAAGATAATTAACAAGAAGACTAAGGACTAAAATGTAAAATACATAAAAAACATTATAAACTAATAGTATTGTTCGCCGAAGGTTTGTGTATTTGAGTTACCACTATACACAAATCAAAAGTCGTTGTATCTTGGAGGCGTTAGCCGTGAACCATGGGTAATATACGGGGCTATTTCGTCTTAAGGAGAGCGTATCTTACGTGCCTCGACTTTGTTTCGTTTTACCAAAATTCATTCTATTTCTTAAAGCCATTTTCTTGAAATTCACATACAAAACAACAATTGTAAACAACATATTATTTATAGTAATATGAATTGTATCTATAAAACTAATGTATAAATAAATAAATAAAAAAATCTATAAATTGATCATAACATCAACTACATATATATGTATATATTTTGTAAAAAGTTATTTAATTCAATACAATGAAAATAATAAGAATAAACATAACAATCACTACAGCTACAGCGTATGTTACATACATTTTTTTTTATCAAGATTATTTTTTGCAAACTTTAATAAATGATGCAAACATTGCAACTAAAAAAAAAAAAACATTTTGCTAGTTAGAAGGTAAATTGATAATAGAATACTGGGCCAGTTAAACAAAAAATCAATGGGCCCTTTTAACTATATGATACAGAGTTGCCCAATTAGTATTCTAATGGTCCAACATGGTTTCAGCACAGCCCATCAAGCTCTTGAAATTTGTTAACAAATAACAATTAGAGGAATTTGCACCACATACAATCATATCTTATTTATATAACATTTTTACACCTAT